AAGAAGGACCGTGTGCTGGCAGCTGAGGGGAGGAGGGGGTGGCAGGAGATTAGGTGAGAGAGATTGTATACAGGAAGAGCTCGGACTCTGTCCTGGAAGTGGTGAATAAAGTGTGGCAAATTTTCTAATGTTGAGATAGTAATCCTAGCATTTGTGTGATCATTTGTTGTCTCAACACATTGCCAGTTCACTTTATTAATATTTGACTTGGAATTTTCCTTCTGTGCTCATGAATGCCATTGGTGTCGGGTTTTTTTTTCTTCTATTTTTATTTTTCTGGGTGTGTAAGGAAATGATACCATGGGACATGATTTAGGTAGTGTCCATTTTTCTGTTCTCTGATAGATGGTGCCTTCACCCACATCATTCCTTTTTGGGCAGCCTGCAGAAGCGTTTCCAGCGTTCTTACATAAGCAGATCACCAGATCACTAGAGGGGGCGCCCCGCTCAGGGTAGAAAATCTGGGAGTTCTTTCTTTGAAGGTGTAGAATGGACTATAAAAGTGTGATAAGAGCCACTATCTTTACTGTCTTTGTAACTTCCTTGTGTTTATCTGACTATTCAGGGTTATTACCTTTTGGCATACCAATTATCGTTATTGATACCTCGGTGGAGAGTTCTTTGTCATCTAAATTAAATTTTCTAGTATAAGAAAAAAAGCACGAAATATCCCCTGCCCAGGTTGGCGCGTCGAGAGATCCAGCCCCAGCTCCGGACTGGACATGAAGGGAAGGCCCTCTGAGACACTGCTGGAAATCCAGAAGGAAACTTGGACAGAACATCGTCATGGCGAGCAGGGCGGGCCGCTGGTCTGTCAGCCCGCGTCCACTCATGTTTACGGACCCGTTTGTGGACTTGGGGAGCCGCGGTTCCCACACTGAGGCGCGAAGCTCTCCCAGCGGATTCAGCGCCAGCTTTCAAGGGGTGCGCGGGTGGCGCCCCCTGGCGCTCCAACTTGGTGCCGACCCTGAAGTTAGGCGGCGTGGCCCCAGCGATGTCAGCGCACGGCTCTTGGCTACATCAGCTGACCCAAATTGCTTGGGTCCGAGGCCGTTAGCTCCCCAGCCAGGGTTCCACCGTCACGACCCCCGCTTGCTCGCGGGATCATACTCAGCTCATCACATCCTGCAAGGACGACCCCCTGCACGCGTTGGCAATTGTCTAAATAACGGCATAGGGCCTCCCTGGTGGCGCAAGGGGTTGAGCACCGCACTGTGAAGCAGGCCTCAGCCTCTGAGGCACGAGTTCGATCCCTAGCAGGCCAGGGATCAACCCACATGGCGCAGCAGACCCCTCCTGGCTCGCCCACTGCTCCCCTCAGCAGTGTACTTCCATCAGTCCACCTGTTCTGCTCTCCACTCTGTCTCTGGTGAATCCTCTCACCCCACCCCCGCATCTCTGGCCTGTACCGCAGCTCTTGTAGACACAAATGAATAAATTTTTAAAAATAAATAAATAAATAACGGCATAAAGTTCTACACACACACACACACGCTGCCCCCAATTTTTAATGCTTTATTGCTCGTAAGTGCTCACACAACAGATAATAAGGTAAACACCCGTTAATTCATCCCTCACCTTAATACTTTTGCTGTTAAATTTCACAGTGATCCATGCTCCGCACAGAAAGTTTCGACATTGCAGCTGCATAAAATCAATCTGCCGCCAGAGGGCGCGCCTGAGCTCGGCCTGGAGGTCACGCTGGAGAACTGGTCACTCGGAGGCAGGGACTGGAGGGCCTTAGGGAAACACGGCCGCCCTCATGCACTTGGGCGCCGGCTCCTCTCCCGCTCGATGGCCAGGCTGTCGAGGCTTTACCGTTCCCTACTATAAAGGGCTGGAGATGGTCAGAGAATTCGCAGTCTCCTCCATCTTGAGTGCCTAAGCATTTCTTCCAAGCAGTGGCTTGTTACTGTTATTATTTATTTAAGGGTTCTTGTGATTTCTTCTCGAAATTAGACAGGAGGCCCCTGATCAAGTGCCCCCCTCCACATCAGGCACAGCTCCCACCCCCACAAGCCAGGCCAAAGAGACAGGCACATCACAGAAAGCCTGTTGGAACATACCTGTCCTCCAAGCTTCTACATCCTGGGCCACTGTATCAGGACTTCGTTGACAGCTTGTTTGCCGGACGGGCAGTGAAGAGTCCCCAGCCACACCTAACAGCCATCCTGGAAAACCCTGCAGCAGGGGAGACACAAGTCATTCCTCGAGCCATTTTATGTTTTTTTGGTTTTTTTAAGAAGATTGATTTATTTATACAAGCACTGGGTACAGTCAGAAGCGCGGGAGGGTGAGAGAATTCACCAGAGCCAGAGCGGGGAGCAGAGCAGGCAGAAGGACCGAAGTACACTGCTGAGGGGAGCAGCGGGCGGCAGGAGAGGTCTGCGTGCCATGTGGGACCCTCACTGGTGGCCGGGGATCGAACAGGCGCTGCAGAGGCTGCGGGCAGCTTCGCAACTCAGCACTTAACCGCTGCGCCACCCAAGAGGCCCAAACTCCTCAAGCCATTTTAAACCCTCCAACTCTCACACACACACGTTAGCCCTGAGTGTATGTCCTGGCAATCTGTTGTAGCCGAGTCAGGCTGCTTTGATGCCCCAGCTCCTGCAGCTGGGGTGGCAGCATCCCCTGCGGCTCCATGCTGGACCCTGAGCTGCTCCAGACGTCGGGAGTGCGCAGATGACAGCTGAGGCGTCTTGGGGTGAAGTGTGCCCTCCTGCCTCATCCTTGGCAGCAAAGGTGGCGGGGCTCTTCCGCGCTCTTCTGCTCCTGAGGGGGGAGGGACTTTGCCATGGAAGCTGTCCCCTGGCGCCATCATTCCTCCCCCTTCACATCCGGCCATTCTGGGCCTCGGTACACCGGGGGCTGCCACTCCTGCACGGGGCCCGGCCTCCCCGGCTGTTTCCACAGTGGCCTGTTAAATCTTTGTTTCCTCAGCGTGTCCCCGCGAGCACACCGGCTTGCGTCTTTCAGATGTCGATCTCCTAAATGCACTTTGTTTTCAATTTTTGCTTTTAGTTTTATGGGGGGGGGGTTCTTTGTGTGTTTGTGCTTGTTTTAGTACCTGCAGTAAGGCAGTTCAAGAGCTCCCCTCCTGTAACAGGGTGGTCCCCAGGAAAGGGAGAGGTTCCAGGTTCCCTGCCCCACCCAAAAGGAGGGTGGAGCTGAGAGAGAGAAGAGGCTGCAGAGGAGACTGAGGAAGGAAGCAGGATGGAGCCAGGAGACCTGGAGGAGGCGCATGGAGCCTAGAGACACGTGAAGAAACTGCGCTTGTCTTTTGGTCGTGGACGGGGTGACACAGATGTGGGTGAGACCCGTGGGGAGGTGACAATGGCAGCTTTTATCTTGATGTTGATTTTGCTCTTTTCCTTCCGGGCTTGTCCGGTTGTTTGTGACCCTTTTCTGTGGGTCCCCACTGGAAGTTGCTTTAGACTTGTGGCAGGCTTTGGGGCCTTGTTCTGGGCCAACCCCATATGGATGGACTTTTACCCACGAGGGGATGGGTAACTTTGGGTGCTTCATTTAGAAACTATAGACTCTTTGCCTTTCCTGTATTGTTTCCTAGTTGTATTAAAGTTCCTTCCCATTAAAGTCTCCTATGTTTTGTGTTGATGCGCGGATGGCAGAACCCATGTAGAGCAGGCAGGTTTGCGGGGTTGGGCTGCCCCTCCCCCTGCCCTATAACACTCCAGCACCCAGGAAGCGCATGGCCCCCAGTGCCCGAGAGGCAGCCCCGACAGTAAAGTTGTTGCAGCAGGAACCCCAGTGCCCTGCACGAGGTCACCCCTCAGCCCACCCCCACGCCGCCCCACCCCCACCCCGCCTTGGCTGGGCCGAGGCAGGCGCCAAAGTTCCGGCCCTCCAGGGACAGCCGGTCAAGGAAAGAGTTGAGGGAAATTCGCCTAACACCGGGACGCGGGCAGGGGCGCTGCAGGCGAGCCACCCTGGGGGGTGCCGGGCACCCCGCGAGGCTCTGCGTCCCGAGCTCCGCCTCAGCGCGACCGGAAGGCCCTGCCGCGCGCCCGCCAGGGCTTCCCAGAGGGGCGGCTCAGGCGGGAGGCGGGGGTCTCGCTGGGGCCGCCCCTTGTTTCCTTCCCTGCTCGGGGCCTCCCGGGCCTTCGGGGCTACCCACGCCAGGGCACCTCCAGGGCCACTCAGTAGAATCTGAGCCCCCGAGAGTCGCGAGCGCCCGGGCCGCGCCGTCGTCAGGCGCCTGCCCGGCCCCGGCCTGCCCGCTGCGAGCCGGAGCGACTGGGGCGTCCCCAGGGACGACTGGGGGCCCCCGAGCGACAACTGGGGCTTCCAAGCAAGTGGGGCACCCCCAGCGACGACTGGGAGCCTCTAGCGACTGGGGCGCCCCCAAGCGACGACTAAGGTGTCTCCAAGGCGCTCCCAGCTCCGCTCTTCTCAGGCCGCAGGGCAACATTGTGGTTGTTTCTGTTTTTTCCCCCTCTCTGGTTTTTGTTTGGGGGTTTTGGTTTTGGCGTTTTCAAAAGTTAGAGATGGCCTCACGGGGAACAGCTGAAGTTTTTTTTTTGTTTGTTTGTTTGGGTTTTTTTTTTTTTTTTTTTTTTTTTTTTTTGTGGGACCCTCACTGGTGGCCGGGGATCGAACCTGCGCTGCAGAGGCTGAGGGCAGCCTTGCAGCCCAGCGCTCAACCGCTGCGCCCCCAGGGGAGGCCCGAACAACTGAAGTATTGATGGTGTTTTCTCAGAAGGGACCAGCTAAGACCCAAGTAAAATGAACTAGACACTGAACTTTCTCCAAACACATCCAGCTACCCTCCTTGAGGCTGCGCTTTGGTGGAAGAGGCGGCCTGAGGGCAGGACAGGGCGAGAAGAGGGGTTTCCTGTGGCCTGCAGAGGATCAGTTCGTCTGAAGTCCCCCCGAGAGGTGATGGAAATGTCTCTTGGACGGTCAAGGAGTGTCTGGTGGAACTCTCCGGAGCTGGGATGTGGCAGCGCCCCGGGAGATGAGGAAAGGCCTCCCTCCCTCCCTCACTCAGCGCCTTCTGGAGGAAGATACTGGTCGAGGCTGCTGGTGTCATCATCCCCAGGTAAAATGTAAAGCTCTATAAATTCATATATGTTCCTCTCACTGGAGGCCCAAGGGAGGTCGGAGGCCTGCAGACACAAGTCTTGAAGGTCATTAGGTTGAGAGCCCCCCAGGGATTTAGACTCAGAGGCACTAGCCCCTTTGGGTTGTTGAGGGTCAAAGACCCCCAAAACTCCAGAAATGGTGTTTGCAGAAGTTGTAGGTGAGGGGGTGGCCTCCTCCTCCGCTGCGCTGTGGGGGTTTGGTGCTTCTGGCGACTGACTGGGCTGACCTCGCAGCTGGGATTTTTTGGCTTTGGCACGCTGGTTCTTGAACCAAGTCTGGGGAGAGACAGGGTAATGAAGGGGGTGAGTTCAAAGTCATTCTCCACTTCCCTGAATAAATAGGTTATGGTACTCTGAGAAAGCTGGTCTCACATCTCTCCTACCTGCCTACCTACCTGTCTGAACAAGAAAAGCTCTTGCTAGCTGCTGCTCTCCTGGTTGCAAAGCCAGTGTAGAATGGAGCTAACTAACCCTGGGAAGAACTGCGCGTTCAAACCCCAGAGTGGGAGGGATGAGTAGAAGTGGGTTAAGGGTCACTGGTTGTGTGGTTTTCGGAGAGGGATAATGGTGGAGTTTTTAGTGTGGTTTAAATATAAATGGGGAGGCCTCCCCAGTGGCGCAGCGGTTGAGCGCTGGGTTGCGAAGCTGCCCGCAGCCTCTGCAGCGCCGGTTCGATCCCCGGCTGCTGGGTGAGGGTCCCACATGGCGCGCAGACCTCTCCTGCCGCCTGCTGCTCCCCTCAGCAGTGTACTTCAGTCCCTCTGCCTGTTCTGTTCCCTGCTCTGGCTCTGGTGAATTCTCTCACCCTCCCGCGCTTCTGACTATACCCAGTGCTTGTATAAAATAAATCTTTTAAAAAAATTTTTTAAATAATAAAAAAATATATAAATGTGGGGGCCTCTCTAGTGGCTTAAGGGGTTAAGATACAACCTATGAAGCTATCTGCAGCCACTGCAGCACGAGTTCGATCCCCAGCCAGCCAGGGAGTTACCCACATGGCGCAGCAGACCTCTCCTGGCTCGTCCGCTGCTCCCCTCAGCAGTGTATTTCAGTACATCTGCCTGTTCTGCTCCCTACTCTGTCTCAGGTGAATGTTCTCACCCCCCAACACCTCTGGCTTACACGTCTTGTGTGCATAAATAAATAAATCTTTAAATACACACACACACACACACATAAATGGGGGCCTCCCTGGTGCCACAAGGGGTTAGGTCTCAGAACTATGAAGCTATTTGCAGCCACTGCAGCACGAGTTTGATCCCCAGCCAGGGAGCTACCCACATGGCGCAGCAGACCTCTCCTTACTTGCCTGCTGCTCCCCTCAGCAGTGTATTCATAGATCTGCCTGTTCTGCTCCCCACTGAGTCTCTAGTGAATCCTCTCACCCCCCGCACCTTTGGCCTGTACCTGAGTTCCTTTAAATAAATTAAAATTAAAATAAATCACAACACAATGGCAAATTCTAGATTGGGAGAAGATATTTCCACATCTTGAGGCTCACAAGAGGATCATTTCCAAAGCAGATAATTCAACAACAGAAGCCCAGACAATCCAATCAAAAAATGGGCAAAGTCCTGAATAAACAAACACTTGTGCAAAGACACTTGGATGGCCTACAGCACAAAAAGTTGTTGAACATCACTTCTTTTATGGGAAATGCAAATCAAAACCACAATGAGACATCCTCACCCCTGTGAGAATGTTCTATATAAAAAAGAATGGGAGCAAATGTGGAGAACAGAATGTGGAGAAGGGAACCCGCATCTGCTGGTGGTAGGAAATGGTATGGACATACCTTAAAAAATAAAAAAAAGGAAATTCGGGCCTTCTTGGTGGCACAGGGCTTAAAATCTCAGCGCTATCAAGCTATTGTCAGCCACTGTGGCCTGAGTTCAATCTCCGGCCAGGGAGCTGACCCACATGGTGCAGCAGACCTCTCCTGTCTCGCCCGCTGCTCCCCTCAGCAGTGTATTTCAGTCAGTCTGCCTGTTCTGTTCCCCACTCTGTCTCTGGTGAATCCTCTCACCCCCGGCACCCCTGGCCTGCATCCCAGCTCTTATTTGTATAAATAAATAAAATAAATCTTAAAAAAAATACACATCCTGGCAGAGCGCAGCAAGCACTATTCTCAGACTCTGAAAAATGAACTGATTACCCAGGGGGGTAAAGGACCAGGGGGAGAAAAGGCCTCTGAGAAGGGGACCACTCGGGGACATACCTGTATTACTAAATCATCCAGCTTGGTGCTTAAAGCGAGCTGCATAATGGTGTCCCAGCTCGGGTACCTGGTCTTCTGGAACACGTCCTTCAGCGCTCCAAGTTGTTCTGGGGTAAACTTTGTGCGGTGCCTGCGAACAGATTTTTGTTTTTCTGCAAGGACAGAGACCACCTGCCATCAGGAAAACCTCTTCTCAGGACAGTGTCTCACCTGAGCCTAACCCAGAGTCCAGAGGGTGGTCTCGAAACCAGGCTCCGCATCCACTCTTAGCTCCAGGGTCCCCAGCTCAGTCCTGGACTCAGCCCAGACGATCGGGCAGCCCTGATGAGTCCTGGGGCCATGACTACGCAGAGACGCCATCATCCAGGAGAGGACAGTTTCCCGCCACAGGAATGGCTGTGCCCAGCTCGCGTCTGGCTCTTGTCTGCCCCACCGCAGCCTGGTTTGCTGAAGCTATAGCGAGGCCTCTGTCTCCCCTGTGGACGCCGCCCCACCTGGTGTGTGAATGCACCTCGGCCTTTGCAGCCTGCTGCTCTGCTCAGAGCCCAGTGGTGCACTTTGTAAAATGAGGTAGTTACGTGTTCGAAGGGCACAGACAGCAAAAATTCGCGTTTCTGATGGGAATGCAGTTACCCATCGTGTTTCACATGACCCTTATGGAATCTCCTTGTGAGCCCTTGATCGTCCAGCCAGTATTGGCAAAGCCCAGGGACCACCACAGATCAAAGCTCTAGCGCCTGGGTTGAATCCCCACCCCAACCATCATCCTCTGGTGTCTCAGCCGGGTTGCCCCTGCCTCGACTTACCCGCTGCCGTGGGATCCATGAGAAAGTCAGAGACTGCGCCGGCCAAGCGCTCTACTCCGAGGCAACAAGGCACCTCTGAGGTCTGGCACTCACGATTTAAGCAAGAGGTTGACGGCGCCAGGTCCCTAGCACGACCCTCCCTGATGCCACACCCTGACATAATCGGGTCAGTGCTCGCTAACTGAGGCCCCTGTGTGGGGCCCGGGATATAAGATTGTGAATCAAGACTTAATCCGGGACCCTCCCCTAGGAGGGGAGGTAAACAGATGAAACTCAAGCAAACAGAAAATGGAGAAAATATTCAAAAATCTGTCTCAGGAGAAGATAATAGGCAGGATGTTGGGAACGAAAGTGAGTTAGAGAAGCCGCGAAGGGTCTCCCTGGTGGCGCAAGGGGTGAAGTCTCAGCACTGTGAGCTGTCCGTAGCCACTGCAGCACAAGCTCGTCCCCAGCCCGGGAGCTACCCACATGGCGCAGCAGACCTTTCCTGTCTCGCCCGCTGCTCCCCTCAGCAGTGTGTTTCGGTCAGTCTGCCTGTTCTGTTCCCTGCTCTGTCTCTGGCGGGTCCTCTCACCCCCCCCCCACCTCTGACCTGTACCTCACCTTGTTTAAGCATAAAAAAAATAAATCTTTATTTTTTAAAAAAACAGACAGGTTAAAGGCAAAAGATTTATTTATCTAAAAAGGGGGGAAAACAATATAAAGGCAATATAAAAAAATATAAAGTGTCATGACATGACAGACTAACACGTGCCCCACAGAAGAGCAGCACCAAGTTACAAGGATTTCAGATGCGCTGTCGTCACGAGAGTCGTTGGATGAAGGCAGGAGCCGGGTCTGGGGTTAGTGGAAATTCTCTGGTCACCGGCCTGGCTCACCAATTGAGCCACTGGGCAAAATACCCGGTTCCCCTCTGCGACAGGAGGGACGTCGGAGCTACCGAAGGTGCAAGGCATGTCCTGCCGGTGGTTCGGCCTCTCCCCATGCCACGGTGTCTCCGGAGGGCCTGGGCGGTCCCTTCTCTGGCCGCAGGGGCTGTGCAGGGCAGCCCTGTCTGTCCGCAGGCCCCGTGGACGCCGCTGTCCGGAGACGGTGGATCCGGGCGCAACCCGGGGGCTCCAAGTCGTTCTGGGGAAGGAGGTTCCGGCTGTGTGTCCCTCTGCATCCCCAGCTCTGGGACCCCACCCGAGCCCATGTCATCCGGGGCCCGGAGGGCACGAGAGGCCCCAGCACAGCGGGTCCCTCCAGCCCCCCCACCGCTGCCGGGGGAGCCTCACGTGGCCAGGAGGCAGGAGATCTGAGGAAGGACGCCGCGGGAGCTGCTGGAGACACAGGACGTTCTACTGGAATCCCAGCAGCCGCTCCAGGCCTGGTGTTCCCACGGGGTTCATCTCGGAAGGGTGCAGGAGCTCCAGGAGCGGATCGTCGAGCCTGTCGGGGTAGGGGCCCGGCGGGGCACAGGGAAGGTCAGGGCCAGAGCCCCCCTCAGGCTCGGCGCTGGGGACCAGGTACTGGTCCAGGCTGGCCGGGTCCTCGCCCCCAGGGGAGCCGTAGGCCCAGGCGAACTCATCTACCCCCAGGGGGCTGCCGGCCCAAGGCAGGTGGGAGGCCTGCAGGCAGAGGTCCTGCAGGTCAGGAGGCAGAATGTCCCCCGGGCATGGACACCCAGAGGCCCTGGGCCCTGCAGGCGGCGCTGGGGGGGACAGCACCGGCGGCTCCTGGGCAGCAGCTCCCCAGGGCCCAGGACTGGGGGACCCAGCATTGGCGGAGGTGGTGGGAGAGGGCGAGACCTCCTCCCCCGCGCTGCCTTGTCTTGCAGCTTCCGGTGCCGGGCCGGGCCAGCTCTGTGCCTGCTGTCTCCTCACTCTGGCCCGCTGATTCTTGAACCAGATCTGCGGGGAGAAGGAGAGCAGGTGGGTGAAGCTGGAAGCCTAGGATCAGCCATGCCCTCCCTCAGGAGAGATTGTTGGGGCCAGAAGGCTGGGCTCCCAACCCCCCTACCCCCACCCTGTCACCCCCCCCCCCAGGGCTGTTCTGAGCATCACAGGCCAAAGGAGGAGGAACATGGTGGCTGGGAGCGAAAGGGACAGACACTAGCTAGGCGGCCCGGGAGGACGTACCTGGATCACGGCATCCTGCAGCCCAGTCTTGGCTGTGAGCTCCAGGATGGCGGCCCAGCTGGGGTGCATGGTCTTCTGGAACTCGGCCCTCAGCACCCCCAGCTGCTGGGGCTGAATTGCGTGCGGGGGCGGCGGACAGAACTTCTCAGTTTTTCTGCAAAACAGACACAAAGAGCTTCCTCAGTGTCCCTTGGAGCATCCGATAAACCAGAGCCGGGCCCGGGAGCCCAGTGGGTGGTGTGGGAACTGGGCTCCTGACCCGGATCTGCACCAAGTGCTGGGTCTGCTCTGCACCCCCGGAACTGCAGACCGCTGGAGCTGAGGGGTCAACCTCACCTTAAACCCACATCCCAATTCCACAGCTTAGCGTCACAGGGAAGGTGGATCCGTTGCCAGGACCCATGTCTCCTTGCCAAGAAGAGCCAGGGAGAGACGGAGCAACCCCAGAGGTGCTGAGGGAACCCCAAACCCCGCCACCCGGAGCTGCAGGGCCTCCAGCTCAGCCCAGGACTCAGCCCATCGGTGGGGCAGCCCTGTGAGTCCAGGGGACATTCCTGCCCAGAGACCCCAACTCCCAGAGAGGACAGCTGCCCCGTCTCACCTGCACGGCCGGTCTGCATGTCCGCCCGGAGCTCCCGAGCCCGGGGTCCCGAGCCCAGGTCAGCCGCGGTCTCGGCGGTGCCCGTGGGAAGGTGCGGTGGCTGCGCCAGCCCGAGCTCCAGGAAGCCCAGGTCAGTCTGCACCTGCCGGGCCTGAGCCCCGCTACTTATACCCACCCGAGGCCCCGCCCTCCTGCCACACCCTCCTGCCCGCCACTCACGCTCGGGATGAGCCCCCAGGGGCCTTCCCTGGGTGGGGGACTTTCCCGGCCCCTGGCCTGATTCCCGACCTGGAACCAGCCCCCACGGGGGACACAGGGAGAGTCGGGCAGCAGAAGTGGAGGAAGGGTCGTGTGGGCTCAGGGACAGGAGGATGTGCCCCGGGCGCTGGGGGTGGCTCTGGGACCACGGGGATGGGGGGGGTTATTTGGCGGAGCGCGGGTGCCAAGAGCTCCTGCTGAGTTGGGCCCCACCCATTGGCCCAGAGAGGGTTGGGGACTCCGCGGGTGGTCCTGGAGTGAGGGGCCAGGAGCGGAAAGGGGCCTCCCCGCACGGCCAGTGTCTTACAGGGGCCGCTCCTTCTCTCGGTGAGCCTGGCCTTTGAAAAGATGGAGAAAAGGAAAGGTTCTCGCCTCCCCTTGGCCAACAAAAAAGGGTGAACGCATCTTATCTCCTCCCCCAGCCCCTGTGGGATCATCCCACGCTCCCCTCCCCCCGGGAGGCGTGGCCAGCTCTGGGGCAGCGATGAAATGGAAAAGGGAGATGTCCCAGGAAAAAGTTTGGATTTAAGGAGTGTTTTAAAATACCGTATTTGTGGGCCTCCCTGGTGGCACAAGGGGTTAAGATGCAACCTATGAAGCTAATTGCAGCCTCTGTAGCACAATCTCAGGCCAAGGAGAACTCACATGGCGCGGCAGACCTCTCCTGTCTCCCCGCTGCTCCCCTCAGCAGTGTATTTCCTCAGTCTGCCTCTTCTGCTCCCCACTCTGTCTCTGCTGGATCCTCTCACCCTCGCACCCCTGCCCTGTACTCCAGTTCTTGCATGCATAAATAAATCTTTAAAAAATATATATATTTATTTCAGTGAGATTGCTGTAATGAACTGGAGTCCCTGCTGCAATTTTAATCTTTTTTTTTTTTTAAAAGAGGCATTTTTTTTTTATTTATTTATTTGTTTGTTTTGTTTATACATGCACTGGGTACAGTCAGAAGCGCGGGAGGGTGAGAGAATTCACCAGAGCCAGAGCGGGGAGCAGAGCAGGCAGAAGGACCTAAGTACACTGCTGAGGGGAGCAGCGGGCGGCAGGAGAGGTCTGCGCGCCATGTGGGACCCTCCTCTGGTGGCCGGGGAGCAGCCGGGGATCGAACCGGCGCCGCAGAGGCCGCGGGCAGCTTCGCAACCCAGCGCTCTACTGCTGCGCCACCGGGGAGGCCCTGCAATTTTAATCTTTCTCATAAAATTTTATAGCATTTGTTTATGCCCGGGATACTTTCCACCACAGTCTGTAGTGGCTTCACAGAGCTGCTGCAAGGGGGAGTGTCAGCACCGAGCCCTGTTTCGGGACTTGCCGGCTGAACTGCCCCATTTCTCCTGGAATGATTAGATTCCAGGGGCTGCAGACCTCAGTCGTTTGCACCCCGACATCCCATATCTTCCATCCGCTCCCCGAGTCTGAAGCAGTCACTGTGACCTCTGACCCAGACCTTTCTCAAACCTGAGGAGTTGATTTCTCAAACCTTCCCGTTGATTCCCCACCCCCACCCCCGCTACCACCCCCTGGTCCCGGAGGAGCAGGAGGAGGTGCTGGAAGATGGCCAGGTTTCAGGAGGTTAAG